TCTCAGCTCCCATTGCTGTGGGTCTAATTTCCCAGTTTAGAGCTGGGCACGGACTTAACCACCGGCTGAACCCTTCTCGTCTCCTCCTCCGTGTGTGTTCCTGGTGTTTCCCAGCTGCTCCGGGCGGAGAGCACCTAGCAACCCTGGAAAGCCCAGGCTTAGGAGCTGAATGAACTCTAGGCTGTCCAACCACCCCGTAGGTAACGCAAACTCCTCCAGTAGCCGCTGTCTGTGCTTCGTCGGAGGCTTTTGACCAACGCAGAAGTGCCAGAGGTGTTTAGAGTGGATTCGGCTTGGAGCAAGGGGGTCTCATTCAGTGGTGACGCTGAGGTCCCTTCTGCGGGCTCTGCGCCTGATGTGGAGCATCGACAGACTCCAGCGCATCCCTCCAGGACCCCGTGAGATGCTGCTGGTCCAGCTCCGGGGGAGCAGCTTGTGCTGCTCTTCTGCAAAAGCCTGGCAAGCTTTGCAGCCGTGTAGGGGCAGGGTGGGTTTGGGGTCCCCCTTTGCCGAGCAGCTCTGCGCTTGTTTTACCCAGACAGGGTGGTCTGTAGGGCTGCCTGGTGCTGGAGCGGGGGGATCTCCTCTTCCTCCTGCCTTTCCAAAGCCCTCTGCATTTATAAATAACAAAGCATTGGCAGGCAGCCGCTGCCAAGATCGTCACCAGGCGCCGGGAATGTGTATAAACAGAGCGTGCAGGCTTTGTCCTCCTTGCCACGGCATCGGCACCCACCGGCCTCCACCCAGAAGCAACCGGGCGTGAAACCCCTGCGTGTCCCGTCCTCCCGAGCCCCTGCCTGCGGGCGAGGCGAGGCTGGGGTCTGCCGTGGGGTTTCCCACCGATGCCTGTGCTTATGGGGCCGGCATCGCAGGGCGAGGCTCATCCTCCTGATCGGCACGTGGGACCGGCGAGGGCGTTGCACTCAGAAGCAGATCGGGAAGCTGCTCCGAAACCCAGCGGTGACAGGAGATGAGATAATGCTCCCGCACGGCATGCGAGTGTAATTAAGCCTCCTGGCTGAACGCCTAATGAACGGCAGAGCCCTCTCCACCGGGATAGGACTTTGCGGGGAGATTTTTGCTGCCGCCTGAGCTGGGTGCAGGGGGCTGCCCCTCGTAGGGAATGCTGCTCCTGCAGGGCACAACCCACCCTAGAGGTCACGTTGCTTCCCTCCCAGAAAGAAGCGGAGGTGTTGGGGGAGAGGGCAAATTAATGATCCGGTGTGGAAAACTGTCCTTCTGGAGGGTTTCACGGCTTTCTGCCGCCGCTTTTCCGGCTGTGCAGGGCTCAGTGGTTAAACGGTGTTTGTACGCCAGCCCCTGCCCCATCAGAGGTCACAAAGCTGGGGAGATAAAAGCCACCAGCTCTTCCATCTTGACCAGGAGCGGTTCTGCAGGTGGCTGCTTTCTGAACGCTTCGGACCGGGGTTATTTTAACCAGCGGGCAGGGTCCTGGCGTGGAGCAGGGTCTGGGTCACCTGGGGGTCTCTGCGGCGAGGAGGAGGGTGCTGTGCAGCCCCAACGCTCTGCACTGCCCTTCTGAGGGCACGAAGGGGCCAGGCTGTGGCCCCCGAGCTCCCGTGCATCCCTGGATGGGCTCAGGTCCTGGCGAGGGCGAGTGCTCAACCCGTGCCCTTCCCTTGCTGGGAGTGGGGCACAGGCTCTGGGTTATTCTGGGTTGAAATCCCGGGTTTTGCTCTAGACGAAGCAATTCAAATGTCCCTGACCTGCGAAAAATCCCCAGCGAGATGTCCCAGCCCCAAGCCCTTTCGCCCGGCTCCCAGCCACGAGAGCAGGAGCAATCAGGCTCAGATCGCTGCAATTTGTGAAGCTTTTCATGCCGGGAAGCTTTTCCCGGCACAACGGAGGAGCCTGACAAACTCGCCGAGCTTTGTGTCTGATTGCAACGGACAGGTTTTAGCTCCCAGAATATAAAAACCTTTTGCAAAACACTAACCTCAGCTAAGGGGAAAGGGAAGGAAAGGGGAGAAAAGAGCTGATTTCAGCAGCTGCAGTTTGCTGTATTTTTCATCTTGCATCAGCAAGTCGGGAACACAAATAATCTGGTCTTATATGCTTCAGTGATGCTGGTGCTGAAGAATTTCCCAGCCTCCACTGGCTGGAGCTCCTCAGCATCCAAAAGCAGGGTGATGTTTCATTTGCCTGAGTGTTTTTTCCCCCATTTTCAGCGTATTCGTGGCTGGGAAGGGGGCCGGATCCTGCCCAGCTCCTCGCAGGACCCCTGCGTCCGCGTGCGTTGGCGAGGTGCGTTTCTGCACAGCAGAAGCCGTCTCTCTCTGGCTGGGGTGGGATGCTAATTCAGGAGCCATACCCTGGGGAGGGGAAGCCTTGCTTCATCGCCCGAGGACCCACGAGGGAGGCTTGGCTCGGGGCGTGTGCGAGGGAAGGAGCGGATCCAGGCCAGCTTGGTATTGATTAAACACCAAACATGGGAACAAAACGCTGCTGGTTTGTTGGTTTTTTTTTTTTTAAAACCCACGTCCTCGTCTTCACGCCCTTTGTTTAGCACAGACAAAATGCCATCTATAATGGATGTTTCCTTGATAAACACTGGAGCGGCAGCTCAACTTTCTCATTACACGGTGTAATGAGAGCGGCTCAGAAGTACGGCTCAGCTGTCCACATAGCTGTCTGGGAAGAAGAAGGAGGAGAAAAAAATGCTCCTGGATTTAACAGGGGCTCTGGGAGCTGGCAGGGAGCAGCGATGCTCGCGT